ATTTAATGCGATCAGATTTAAAACTAAGAGTATTTATAATGTTTCTTGGGGAGATGATGTTTGATTAGTTTCGTTCTGTGTCACGTGACTCATAAAAGACCAAGACGAGACACAAGTCCAACTGTGAGAGTCTGTCCCCCCAAAAATACTAGTACTTCAACAATTTGCAGCATTTTGGTTTCAGGCCACATTTCTTTACGTTTTACAGAAACTAAACTTAAAACCGCGTGGTTCAGCTTTTGTCGGACTAAAGGACACGACTCAGTGGAGTATCGATGTTTTTTCAGTGGATGTTGCGGCTGACGGTGACTCTGTTCTGTTTGTGTCGCGTTGGAAACTGTTCATGTTTTAACTTTTCAGAGATTATGGACCCGGCTCCACTGCACGTGTGTATTTCACTCTACACGAGTGTAAAAACTGCAACTTTTGGAGGAATGGATGGACAGTGAGTGAGGGCGGCGCTCGTCTGGAGCAGCAGGTCCTGCAGGTGTAGATTTCAGAAAGTGGGATCCATCCTGTTTTTTTGAGGCTCTACGTGAGCGTAGACGCGTGTGTCCACAGAGCATGAATCTTTGGTTGTATTGGTGCGTCAAACATCAGCACATCCTTCACCTGGGGCAGTTCTGTGCTTCTTCAGCGGCTGGTGGAGCTGCCCTCACATTGACCTGTGGTTTTGTGAGGTTTACACACGTAAATGCTGACGCCTGCAGTGGAGTCAGGCCCAAGTCTGCAGGCCGTACACACAGGCCGTACACACGGGCCGTACACACGGGTCGTACACGCGGGTCGTACACGCGGGCCGTACACACGGGTCGTACACACGGGTCGTACACGCGGGTCGTACACGCGGGCCGTACACACAGACCGTACACACAGACCGTACACACAGACCGTACACACAGACCGTACACACGTACACGTACAGCGGTGCGGCTTCGTAGTTTACCAAAGTCGTACTATAATATTTTGGTAATACTGTAATACCGTGTACCTCGGTATAATCCTGAGACGGTTTCACGGTATCTAAATTTGGATCCTGCCCAACCCTGCGTGGTTTACGTTCACCTCTCATGCGTTACACAAATGCAAAGCACCGTTTATTCGACAAATGCAGCGGCTTTTTCCAACTGTAGCTTCCTCTCAGTTTGCACAAAGTTTGTTGCGATGGTGGACGAGAATCCACGACCAGTTCGCCGCAGAAGAAAGTCAGTTTTTGAAGTCGCTGAAAGAAGAAAAGAGGAAAAGGAGCGAAACCGAACTGAGGTGAACCAGGTCTAAACCAGGACTGAACAAGTATTAAACCAGGACTTTATCAGGTCTAAACCAACTTGTCCATGTCCAGTGTTTCTGTAATTAAGAATAAATAATAACAAAGCAGATTATTAATTATTTATCAGTAAAAGCTGCGTTAGATCTGAGCGTTTACCTCGGCTCTGGGGTCACGCTCTTGTTTGTTTCTGAGATTTTAAATTCTCATGAGGCTTTGATTCAATGAAACCGTTTGGACTGAATTATTTTTTCTTCACAAAACTCAAACCAGACCCAGAACTCTCCTCCAAAAAACACGTCTGGAGCTCTGGGCACGTTCAACAAGCTCAAGTTCACTTTATTTTTGACTAAAACTAAACCTGTCCTGTTAAAAAGTGAAATAAAAACAAATAATTACATGCATTAAAGCTGCACAATAGACCGAACAAAACAGATCTCGCCGGAGGTCGTCATCACGTTTCCAAACGTCTTCTTGGTTTGTGTCGTAAGCGTGAGTAGAGACTAGAGCATAAATGATCGTAACACCTCTTGAAGCTGGTTGGACGATTAGGCCTCGGTGCATCTTTAAAGGTTGTATAGAGGATTTTCCAGGGAACGAGAAATCCAGCGACTGTTTGTCCTTTTTCAAATGTTGCTCATGCGTGAAACCACCTCCCTCCCCCACAGCTCCTACGTAGAAACACCTCCTCCCTCCTCCTCCTTACGCCAGAAACCGGTGCTGCACATGACTTGTAAACAACTAACTACAGTGTTGGTTAGACAAGACGGAGAAGTGAGGAGCGGGGGGAGGGGGCGCAGACATTTCGTGCGTGGATGAGAAGTGAGGAGCAGGGAGAAGAACGGAGCAGGGAGAGCGGATCGGGCAGCGGGGACAGGAGCAGGAAAGGGGTGCAGAGAAGAGTGCGTGGAGATTCAGTGTGAATGAACTAACTACAACACGCAGTAGCAAGCGGACTCTTTCTTTGCCTTGAAAATTACGTTTTCAGACATAGGATATCACATTCGTGTCCTGAAAAACGTTTGTCTAACTCTTGGAAATAAAGTAGGTTTTCATAATAAGCAGAAGTTTCCTGTCCAGGAGTAATTTGTGGACCAGTGGTTCAGTCTTTAGACCCTTCGTCTGCTTCAGTCGCGCCATCGCTGGAATGAATCTTCAAGAATCACCTTAGTTTGTCTTCTTCTTTCACCTCAAAAACGGACTTTCTTTTGCAGCGAACTGCTCCTGGATTCTTGTCGCCATCGCAACAAACTTTGTGCGAACTGCGAGGAAGATATAGGTCAAAAAAGCCGCTAAGAACTGTTGCGTTGGTGGAGTAAACAGCGTCTGTGCGTCTTGCGTCTGTGGACTGTGTGACAGTCGTACGTAAACCACGTACCGGCGGCGCAGGCAAGTCAGTTACACTAGAAACGTAGGGAGTTTGATTGACAGCCTGTCAGCTCACAGATAACGAGGCAGTGTCGTTATCTATTGGCAAATGTTTAGCCCCACCACGTCCAGAGTTGATGAATTTTTATTCTCTTTTTTTTGGTCATCATAATTACAAGGCGACTGCATCTATAATCTATCACTGACAATTTGAAACAAAAAAAAAACAAAAAAAATCCTCCATACAACCTTTAAAGCCTGAAGTGACGGCGGTTTGAGGACGAGGTGATGACAGGTTTGGTACATTCCACAATTGTAGGTTTGAGGTCTGAGGAATCTGCAGAGGAGGAGTCGACGGTGAATCTCGGGTTTATGAGACAGAATGTTTGTGTTAAAGTGTGTGAAGATCCTCGTCCTCGTAAACGACCCACAGAGACAGAAATCATGAGTCTAACGAGAACTCACATCAACTCTGACAGCTGCATGTCCCCGTGTGTCAGATGCCCTCCCTGTGTCTGCAAAATCTGTGTGTCGTTCGTTCATTTGTTTTTAAAAATAAAACCAAAAATAAGAAAAAAAAAAAACACTTTTCTTCATTATTTGTCCCCAAAACCAAAATAAAAAAACAGATAATGATTCGTTTTTTTGAAGTTTTTTATTTTGTGTTTAAATGAAAAATGGAAAAAATGGAGGACGGACTGAACCAGGACTGAACTGTTTTCAGTCCTGGTCTGGTCCCAGTCTGGTCCCAGTCTGGTCCCGGTCTCAGTCCTGGTCTTGTCCCGGTCTCAGTCCTGGTGTGGTCCCAGTCTCGGTCTCGGTCTCTGGTTCTGGTCCTGGACCTGTTTTAATCCTGGTTCAGTCCGTTATCTGTTTTTTTCCATTTTTCATTTAAAAACAAAATCAAAAACTGAAAAAAAACGAATCATTTTCTGTTTTTTCATTTTGGTTTTGGAGACAAATAATGAAGAAAAATGTAGTTTTTTCGTTTTCTTATTTTTGGTTTTACTTTGGAGAATCTGTGTGTCGTTTGTTCATTTGTTTTTCAAAGTGTCTGACCCTGAAGTCCAGACTTTTACAAACACGTTCAAATCAAATACGGCGTTTAACTGTAAATCATCGTTACATAAAAACTAACGCAGATTTATTCTTAATTACAAAAACATTGGGACTCGTTGTTTTTGTTATAATTTGTTTCGGTCGTCAAGGCGATTCTCCAGAAAACAGAATCACAAGTCTCGACGCTGAAATCAGTGAGTTTAAACCTAAAACGTTTCTCCCTAAACCCCAGAACCTGCTCCAGTCCTGAGTCAGAGTTAGTGCAGCTTCTGCAGCTCAGGGATCGAATCCTGCAGGTTCAGATCTTCACATGAAACTGACACTGAGACAAACGCAGGACGAGTCTTGTCCAGGCTGGAGTCTCCAGTGACCAGGTCAGGAACCAGAAAACAGACGGTTTATTCAGATTCCTACGGGAAGAAGTCCTGTTCTAGTCCTGGTTGAGTCCAGTTCTAGTCCTGGTTGAGTCCAGTTCTAGTCCTGGTTGAGTCCAGTTCTAGTCCTGGTTGAGTCCCGTTCTAGTCCTGGTTGAGTCCTGGTTGAGTCCAGTTCTAGTCCTGGTTGAGTCCCGTTCTAGTCCTGTTGAGTCCCGTTCAAGTCCTGTTCAAGTCCCGTTCAAGTCCTGTTCAAGTCCCGTTCAAGTCCTGTTCAAGTCCCGTTCAAGTCCTGTTCAAGTCCGTTCAAGTCCTGTTCAAGTCCCGTTCAAGTCCTGTTCAAGTCCTGTTCAAGTCCTGTTCAAGTCCTGTTCAAGTCCCGTTCAAGTCCTGTTCTAGTCCCGTTCTAGTCCTGGTTGAGTCCCGTTCTAGTCCTGGTTGAGTCCCGTTCTAGTCCTGGTTGAGTCCCGTTCTAGTCCTGGTTGAGTCCCGTTCTAGTCCTGGTTTAGTTCCGTTCTAGTCCTGGTTTAGTCCCCTTCTAGTCCCGGTTTAATCCTGGTTTAGTCCCGTTGTAGTCCTGTTGTAGTCCTTGGTTTAGTCCTGGATTTATTCTGCAACTTATCCATTTTTTTTTCCCCGTGTATTTGACCAAAATCATTTTTTCATTCCACATTTTCTTGTCTGATAATCTGGAAGGACGTCGGATCATTTCCACTAGTTTTGTTTTCCCTGGTTTTAAGTTTGTAAAAATCAGGTGCAGAGATTTTTTTAAGTGTTTGACTGTGACTTTTTAAAGCAGAATTCATTTTTATTCAGAAATAAATTATGTTTATTTGGAATTAAAGCGACTCTTGGGCTGTTTTCAAACTGTAAAAGTGACTTTGTTCAGTTCATTTAAGGATTTTTTTTTTTTTGCACAATCTTGTTTTCAGATCAGCTCTCGCACACGTTAGTCGCCCTCAGACTCGTGTGAAACGTGTAAAACGGCGTCTGACAGACACGAGGTGTAAAAGTTACGATCCTGCAGCTCTGTGTTTACTGTCTGCGGCTCCTCCGGCTCCTTTTGGCTCCTTTTGGCTCCTGGGGATGGAAATAAGTGCCGTGTGTTTGTGGTAATGATCCCGTCAAACCCGTCTTCAAACATCTGCTCCTGTCGCACTGGTCTGCTCACCTCACCTGCCGCACCTGCCTCACCTGCCGCACCTGCCGCACGCTCCTGTCCTGTATCCGTGTGTGTCCTGGGGGTTTTAACTTGAACTTGTCACAGATTTAAATCACCGAGCTCCGTTTTTTGGTTTGAAAATGCAAAATTATCCGAAAACGTCGTCGTGTTAAAATGTTTTGAGTTTCACTTTCGTTTCACTTTCTCCTTCAGACGTTTTCACAAAATAATCAGAGTTACACAAAATCAAACTCCTGCTCGTCACTTCAGGTTTGTCCAGTTGTTGTGTTCAGTTTAGTTTTTGTATTTTTCTAGAGAATTGTCGCGTGGGAGCTTGGGGGAATCGCACACATGGAATTGCACAGACTCTCACACTAATTGGCATACTGACTTGCACATGGACTCGCACATGACATTGCACACAGAATTGCACACGGGCTCACACATGGAATTGAATTGCACACTCACTCGGACATGGAATTGCACACGAACTTGCACACGGATTCACACACCGAATTGCACACAGACTTGCAGGGAATTGCACACAGACTTGCAGGGAATTGCACACAGACTTGCAGGGAATTGCACATGGAATCACACACAGAATTGCACACAGGCTCTCGGGGAATTGCACACAGACTCGCATAAGGAATTGCACACAGACTCGCATAAGGAATTGCACACAGACTCGCATGGAATTGCACACAGAATTGCACAGGGAATTGCACACAGACTCGCAGGGAATTGCACAGGGAATTGCACACAGACTCGCAGGGAATTGCACAGGAATTGCACACAGAATTGCACAGGGAATTGCACACATGGGAATTGCACACAGACTCACTGGGAATTGCACACAGACTCACAAACAGAATTGCACACGGCACCGCACGCAGAACCGCACACAGCTGTAACCGTACGGAGGGTCTGAATAGAGCCCTGGCGAGATCTCTAAATGACTCAAACATGCAGGGGTGACTCTAAAACCTCCCGAGTCCGATTTTTGACGAGAGAAAAACATAACACGATAAAAATCTCTGAGAGAGAGAGAGAGAGAAACACCTCCTCCTCGTCGTCGTCAGTGGAAGTGAGTGAGTCGTTTTTATCTCGTGTAAATTAAAGTGGCTCCACAGAAAGTCTCGTGTTTTTATTCTTTTCACGATTTCACCCGCACGTTTTTATTCACTTTTTATTTTTCATATTTTCTTCCTCACGAGGGAAGAAGAGACGTGATTTATTTGTGGTTTCGTGTCGCTCTGTCGCTGATCCGATCGAAGCGCAGCAGGAATGTGATTAAACGTGTCTGTGGGCGTCGGCTCCACACAAAACGGAGAAACTGCAGACGTCAGGTTCCACAGTGGAGCTTTAAACTTACACACGAATGAATCTGTTTAATTAAAGGTGATTTGATAAAGACACCGGCGTTTAGTGTTACAGGTTTGGTCCTGTTCTAGTCCTGTTCTAGTCCGGTCCTGGTTTAGGCCTAGTTTAGTCCTATTCTAGTCCTGTTCTGGGACTTTTCTTATCCTAGTTCTAGTCCTATTCTAGTCCTGTTCTAGTCCAGTTCTAATCCTGGTTTAGTCCTGTTCTAGTCCTGGTTTAGTCCCACTGTAGTCCTATTCTAGGCCTGTTTAGTCTTGTCCTGCTTTAGTCCTGTTCTAGTCCTTGTTTAGTCTTGGTTTAGTCCTTGTTTAATCCTGTTTAGTCAGTCCAGTCCTTTTAGTCCTGGTTTAGTCCCTGTTTAGTCCCTGGTTTAGTCGGTTTCTAGTCCTGGTTTAGTCCTGTTGTTTAGTCCCTGGTTTTAGTCCTGGTTTAGTCTCTGGTCTAGTCCTGTTTAGTCCTGTTCTAGTGCTGTAAATGTCTCCAAAACCGTTTCCTTTGCTCTCGGTTTTTTTTTCCATGTTTTCACGTTTGTAAAAAAAAATCAGGTGCAGAGATTTTTTAACGTGGAGGAAACAGTTAAAACTTGCATAAACACACACACACACACACACACACACACTCACACACACTTTCACACACACACACACACACACACACACACACACACACACACACACACACACACACACACACACACACACACACACTCAACACACACACACACACACACACACACACACACACACACACACACACACACACACAACACACACACACACTCACACACACACACACACACACACACCACACACCACACACACACACACACACACACACGCACACACACACTCACACACACACACACACACACACACACACACACACACACACACACACACACACACACTCACACACACACACACACACACACACACACACACACACACAACACTCACACACACACACGCACACACTCACACACACACACACACACACACACACAACACACACACACACACAGTTACAGGTTCACACACTTCACACACTGTGTCCCTAGTCCTGTACACACACACACACACACACACACACACACACACACACACACACACACACACGGCGTTTTGTGTTACAGGTTTGGTCCCATTGTAGTCCTGTTCTAGTCCTTGTTTAGTCTTGGTTTAGTCCTTGTTTAATCCTGTTGTAGTCCAGTTCTAGTCCTGTTCCTAGTCCTGGTTTAGTTTTATTCTAGTCTTTATTCTGTTCCTGTTTTAGTCCCGTTCTAATCCAGTTCTAGTCCTTCTAGTCATGGTTTAGTCCTGTTCTAATCCTGGTTTAGTCCTGTTTTAGTTCTGTTCTAGTCCCATTCTAGTCCCGTTCTAGTCCGTCTGTTTAGTTTCTAGTTCTGTTCTAGTCCCGTTCTAGTCCGGTTCTAGTCTTGGTTTAGTCCAGTTCTAGTCCTGTTCTAGTTCTGTTCTAGTCCCATTCTAGTCCCGTTCTAGTCCGGTTCTAGTCATGGTTTAGTCCAGTTCTAGTCCTGTTCTAGTCCCATTCTAGTTCTGTTCTAGTCTTGGTTTAGTCCCGATCTAGGCCTGGTTTAGTCCTGTTTTAGTCCTGGTTTAGTTTTATTCTAGTCCTGTTCTAGTCCTGGTTTAGTCCTGTTCTAGTCCTTGTTTAGTCTTGGTTTAGTCCTTGTTTAATCCTGTTCTAGTCCAGTTCTAGTCCTGTCCTAGGCCTGTTTTAGACCTGTTTTAGTCCTGGTTTAGTCCTGTTCTAGTTCTATTCTAGTTCCGTTCTAGTCCGGTTCTAGTCTTGGTTTAGTCCCGATCTAGTCCTGGTTTAGTCCTGGTCCTAGCCCTGGTCTAGTCCTGGTCTAGTCCTGGTCTAGTCCCGAGTGCTGTAAATGTCTCCAAACCGTTTCCTTTGCTCTCGTTTTATTTTCCATGTTTTCACGTTTGTAAAAAAAATCAGGTGCAGAGATTTTTTAACGTGGAGGAAACAGTTAAAACTTGCATAAACACACACACACACACACACACACACACACACACACACACACACACACACACACACACACACACACACACACACACGGCTGTTACGTAACACGCCCTGTGCTAAAGAAACCAAATACTTTCTTCTAAACTGTTGATTCTAGTTCCAACTGGCCCAGAGCAGCTGCCACTCGCTCCGTCTATTGTATATTTCCATAAGCTCTGTTTATGCTCCAGGACTCGGACTGTTGACGGAAAAGCCCCGGACGCTCTCGCTGCGGTGTGTGTGTGTGTGTGTGTGTGTGTGTGTGTGTGTGTGTGTGTGTGCGAGGAGCAGGGGGGCGGGGGCGAGCACACTTTGATGACTCACTTATGGACATTCCTGGCCGCTCTTCCCGTCACGTGACCCGGTTTTCCCGCCTCTCCCTCGTTTACCTCCCACAGAAACACTCAGGCCCTACAAGGAGAAGTTTCCATTATTATCTGTCCTCAGTCGGCGCAGGAATTACACAGAAGGAATTTTCACATATTTTACAGTCCGGACCGAGCCCCCGACGGCCCACGAGCTCCGTCTGGGGAGATTCTTTTCAGATTTCTGCATAAATTAAAGTGTTTCCTCGGGACAGTCCCAGTGTTGAGCCTGTGTCGCCTGCAGGGCTCAAGTTCACGCTTTTTATGAACCAGTTTGAAGTTCAGGTCACATGTTCAAAGTGAAAAAAAGTCCTGCAAGGGTCAATGTTTTTAGAGACCTGCACCCGCCCGTTAACCCGTGAAAAGTCCACCTGTTACCCGCCCGTGTCCGAGATAAATCACACAAAATAAAAACATTCTAACTGAAGCATCAGAATATGAATTGAAAAGTTACGATTTCAAGAATTAAAATCACAAAATGAAATGAAACGGTTTCACTTTCTTCAGTACGAACACGAATGTCACAGACGTAACTCGACTGTCAAAACTTCACAGACGGTGTTTACTGAGCAGAACTGAACCAGGACTGAACCAGGACTGAACCAGGACTGAACCAGGACTGAACCAGGACTGAACCAGGACTGAGCCAGGACTAAACCAGGACTGAGGACTGAACCAGGACTGATACCAGGACTGAACCAGGACTGAAAACTGGACTGAACCAGGACTAAAACTGGACTGACTGTCTGGGGCTGGTGTGTGTCGGGGCTGGTGTGTGTCTGGGGCTGGTGTGTGTCTGGGGCTGGTGTGTGTCGGGGGCTGGTGTGTGTCGGGGCTGGTGTGTGTGTCGGGGGCTGGTGTGTGGTCGGGGTCTGGTGTGTGTCGGGGGCTGGTGTGTGTCTGGTGGCTGGTGTGTGTCTGGGGTGTGTGTGGTGTGTGTCGGGGGCTGGTGTGTGTCGGGGTGGTGTGTGTCGGGGGCTGGTGTGTGTCGGGGGCTGGTGTGTGTCGGGGGTGTGTGGGTGTGTGTGTCGGGGGCTGGTGTGTGTCTGGTGTGTGTGTCGGGGGCTGGTGGTGTGTGTCTGGGGCTGCTGGTGTGTGTCGGGGGCTGGTGTGTGTGTGTGTGTCGGGGGCGGGGCTGGTGTGTGTCGGGGGCTGGTGTGTGTCGGGGGCTGGTGTGTGTCGGGGGCTGGTGTGTGTCGGGGGGTGTGTGTCTGGTGTGTGTCGGGGGCTGGTGTGTGTCGGGGGCTGGTGTGTGTCGGGGGCTGGTGTGTGTCGGGGGCTGGTGTGTGTCGGGGCTGGTGTGTGACAGTTGTTGTGCCCTGACGTCACCGGCCTCATGAAAGCCTCATTCAGACGGTCGGCTGCTGTGTCCAGTGTGACCAGAGATGATCTCCAGCAGCTGAAGAACAGAGACTCTTCACACTTACGTCACACACGCGGGAAACACGATGACGACTTCTTTTCTGACCCGACTGACCTAAATCTGTGTTTGTCCTCTGTGCTCCTGTTTCTGATCGTTTAAGAACAGTCAAACGTCACCACACTTTTACGTTCAGACTGCAGGACTTGACGCTCAGTTTGGATTTTTTTGCAAAGTCGTTCACATTTCTGATTAAATGTGACTTGTTTGTGATCTTCAAAGTGTCCTACATGAACATTGGAGGCAGTGTTGGGAAGGTGACTTTTAAAATGTAATCCCCTACAGATTACAGAATGTAAATATGTAGTTTGTAACGTAATCCATTAAATTACTTGAAGTGAGTAATGTAATCTGATTACTTTGGATTACTTGATTTGCTGTAGAGAAACAAAGACGAGGAAATCTTCACATAAGAAGTTTTGTCTCTTAAAAGAAAATAAAAAGTCCAGATTTTACTGAACCAAATTAAAAATAGTCCTGTTTTAGACCTGGTTAAGATCTAGTTTTAGTCCTGGTTTTAGACCTGGTTTTAGTCCTGGTTTTAGTCCTGGTTTAGACCTGGTTTTAGTCCTGGTTTTAGACCTGGTTTAGTCCTGGTTTTAGTCCTGGTTTAGACCTGGTTTTAGTCCTGGTTTAGACCTGGTTTTAGTCCTGGTTTAGACCTGGTTTTAGTCCTGGTCCTGGTTTTAGTCCTGGTTTTAGTCCTGGTTTAGTCCTGGTTTTAGTCCTGGTTTAGACCTGGTTTTTCCTAGTCCTGGTTTAGACCTGGTTTTAGTCCTGGTTTAGACCTGGTTTTTAGTCCTGGTTTAGACTGGTTTTAGTCCTGGTTTAGACCTGGTTTTAGTCCTGGTTTACCTGGTTTAGTCCTGGTTTTCCTGGTTTTAGTCTGGTTTAGCCTGGTTTTAGTCCTTTTAAACATGGTTTTTACCTGGTTTTAGTCCTGGTTTAGACCTGGTTTTAGTCCCTGCGGTTTAGTCCTGACCTCCGCTGGGGTTTAGACCTGGTTTTAGTCCTGGTTTAGTCCTGGTTTTAGACCTGGTTTAGACCCGGTTTAGACCTGGTTTAGACCTGGTTTTAGTCCCTGGTTTAGACCTGGTTTTAGACCTGGTTTAGACCTGGTTTAGACCTGGTTTAGACCTGGTTTAGAGACCTTTAGACCTGGTTTTAGACCTGTTCCTGGTTTAGACCCGGTTTAGACCCGGTTTAGACCCGGTGGTTTTTAGACCTGGTTTAGACCCGGTTTAGACCCGGTTTAGACCTGGTTTAGACCTGGTTTAGACCTGGTTTAGACCCGGTTTAGACCTGGTTTAGACCTGGTTCAGGTCCTGGTTTAGACCCGGTTTAGACCCAGTTTAGACCCGGTTCAGGTCCTAGTTTAGACCTGGTTTAGACCTGGTCGTGACTCTTGGACTCTTACATTCTTCGGGTCCAAGGTTTGTACTTCGAGTCGTTAGTCTGAGGAACTGGCTGAGTCCAGGACCGGAGCCTCAAACCCGCTCCGGTCCGGGCTGAGTCCAGGTTTGTGGTCCGTCCCCGGGAGTTCGTTCTGGTGTAAATAAAATGTGAATGGGTCATTTTTGTGGTTTGGGCTTTGAACCTGAGTCTGTGTCTTGTGTGCAGCTGGAGGGGAACCTGGCCGACGTGAAGAAGCAGCTGCAGGAGGAGATGCTGAGGAGGGTCGACGCCGAGAACCGTCTGCAGACCCTCAAGGAGGAGCTGGAGTTCCAGAAGAACATCTACAACGAGGTCAGGACGGAATGAGGTCAAGTGTCAATAAATAGAACAAAAATAGAACAAAGATCTTGGAAACAGCTGCTCACGATATTTTACGATATATCGATTTTTCTGTATTTTTGTCCTAAAACGACGATTTTTGTTCCACTTTTCTCCATCAAACTTTGCTCGTACAATTTGCTCAGGTGTTTTACAATCTGAGTTTTTCTTCAAATTTAGTATCGAGAGGTTCTTTTATGTCGGGATGAGACGATGGAACGATTCTCAAAAAAAAGTTGAATTGTTGGAGTTTGGTGTCGAGTTCGATTCTCACGTCCTCCAGGCACAGTTTTGTTATTTTGGCATGGGCCAGTCCTGGTCTCAGTCCTGGTCTCGGTCCCGGTCTCAGTCCCGGTCTCAGTCCTGGTCTGGTCCCGGTCTCAGTCCTGGTCTCAGTCCTGGTCTCAGTTCTGGTCTGGTCCCGGTCTCAGTCCTGGTCTCAGTTCTGGTCTGGTCCCAGTCTCAGTCCCTAGCTGGTTCCGATCTGGTTCAGGTCTGGTCCCGGACCTGGTTTAGTCCTGGTTCAGTCCTGTTTTAGACCTGGTTTAGTCCTGTTTTAGACCTAGTTTAGTTCTGTTTTAGACCTGGTTTAGTTCTGATTTTAGACCTGGTTTAGTTCTGTTTTAGACCTGGTTTAGTCCTGGTTTAGTCCTGGTTTAGTCCTGGTTTAGTCCTGGTTTAGTCCGTTCTCCGTTTTTTCCCATTTTTCATTTAAACACAAAATCGAAAACTGCAAAAACAAATTATCTGTTTGTTTTTTTTTTCATTTTGGTTTCAGACACAAATGATGAAGAAAATAGTTTTTTGGTTTTTTTTTCATTTTCTTATTTTTTTTGTTTTATTTTGAAACACGAATGAAGAACGACACACAGATTCCGTAAAGCTCCTTTGTCCCTCTCCTGCCGCTCCCGTTTGTTTTTTAAACCGTTTCTATTTAATTTTTAAACCGTTTGTTTCTTTTTTAAACCGTTTTGTTTCATTTTTAAACCGTTTGTTTCATTTTTAAACCGTTTCTGTTTCTTTTTTAAACCGTTTGTTTCATTTTTAAACCGTTTGTTTCTTTTTTAAACCGTTTCTGTTTCTTTTTTAAACTGTTTCTGTTTCTTTTTTAAACCGTCAGCAGCTTAAAACATTATCGTGATGTCGTAGATGATCACAAGTTTCAGAATCATTCCATGTGTACTTTTATTTTAGGTGTCGTTGCGTGTAGTTGTGTGTAGTTGTGTGTAGTTGTGTGTAGTTGTGTAGTTGTGTGTAGTTGTGTATTGTGTGTAGTTGTGTGTAGTTGTGTGTAGTGTGTATACTTGTTGTGTGTGTGTAGTTGTGTATGTGTGTGTGTATACTTGTGTGTAGTATTGTGTATACTTGTGTGTAGTTGTGTATAACTTGTGTGTAAGTGTCTTGTGTGTGTGTATACTTGGTATATTTGTGTGTAGTTACTTTGTGTGTAGTTTGTGTACTTGTGTGTACTTGTGTGTAGTTGTGTGTATATGTGTAGTTGTGTAGTTGTGTGTAGTTGCGTGTAGTTGCGTGTAGTTGCGTGTAGTTGTGTGTAGTTGTGTGTCATTGTGTGTCGTTGTGTGTAGTTGTGTATACTTGTGTGTAGTTGTGTTGTAGTTGTGTGTAGTAGTTGTGTGTACTTGTGTGTGGTGTGTGTTGCGTGTTGTGTGTAGTTGTGTGTAGTTGTGTGTTGTGTTCTTGTGTGTAGTGTGTGTAGTTGTGTATACTTGTTGTAGTGTGTAGTTTGTGTAGTTGTGTAGTTTGTGTGTTGTTGTATACTTGTGTGTAGTTGTGTGTAGTTGTGTAGTTGTGTGTAGTTGTGTATACTTGTGTGTAGTTGTGTGTAGTTGTGTGTAGTTTGTGTGTAGTTGTGTGTAGTTGTGTATACTTGTGTGTAGTTGTGTGTAGTTGTGTGTGTAGTTGTGTGTAGTTGTGTGTAGTTGTGTGTAGTTGTGTGTAGTTGTGTATACTTGTGTGTACTTGTGTGTAGTTGTGTGTAGTTGTGTGTAGTTGTGTGTAGTGTGTGTGTAGTTGTGTAGTTGTGTGTAGTTGTATACTTGTGTAGTTGCGTGTAGTTGTGTGTAGTTGTGTGTAGTAGTTGTGTATACTTGTGTGTAGTGTAGTTGTGTATACTTGTGTGTAGTTGTGTATACTTGTGTGTAGTTGTGTGTAGTTGTGTGTAGTTGTGTGTAGTTGTGTGTAGTTGTGTGTAGTTGTGTGTAGTTGTGTATAGTTGTGTGTAGTTGTGTATACTTGTGTATACTTGTGTGTAGTTGTGTGTAGTTGTGTGTAGTTGCGTGTAGTTGTGTGTAGTTGTGTATACTTGTGTGTAGTTGCGTGTAGTTGCGTGTACTTGTGTGTAGTTGTGTAGTTGTTGTGTGTATTGTTGTGTGTAGTTGTGTATAGTTGTGTGTGTACTTGTGTGTAGTTGTGTGTAGTTGTGTGTACTTGGTGTAGTTGTGTTGTAGTTGTGTGTAGTTGTGTGTAGTTGTGTAGTTGCGTGTAGTTGCGTGTAGTTGTGTAGTTGCGTGTAGTTGCGTGTAGTTGCGTGTAGTTGTGTGTAGTTGTGTGTAGTTGTGTGTAGTTGCGTGTAGTTGTGTGTAGTTGTGTGTAGTTGTGTATACTTGTGTGTAGTTGTGTGTCGTTGTGTGTAGTTGTGTATACTTGTGTATACTTGTGTACACTTGTGTGTAGTTGTGTATACTTGTGTGTAGTTGCGTGTAGTTGCGTGTAGTTGTGTGTAGTTGTGTATACTTGTGTGTACTTGTGTATACTTGTGTGTCGTTGTGTGT